GAAGTGGAGTGGGCCAAACTTAACCACTAGGCCACCAGGCTGGCACCACTGGGGCATATCTTCCAGTAATTGTTTTTAAGGGTACATAGTGAAAATTTTGCTGAGTCCTTCTTTGTCTGAGGATATTTTACTCACATCTTTGATAGTTTGGCTGGATATAGAATTTTAGGTAGAAATAATTTTCCCTCAGAACTTTCAAGGCATCATTCCATTTTCTTCTATCATTTTATGCCAATCTGGTTCTTGTTTCTTTGTAAATAACCAGTTTTTTTCTTTGTGGAAGTTGTTCTTTATCTGTGGAGTTCTGAAATTTTAACAGAATGTGTTAAATTGGATGTCTTTTTTTTTCTTCTCCTGCTTTGTAATCAGTGGATTACAAAGTACTCTTTCCCTCTGAAGGCACAAGTCTTAAGCTCAAACGAATTTTCTTGTTCTTTCTTTTGCTATAATCTGTCTTCCAGATCTTTGTTCTCTCCTGGAACTCCTTTTGGGCAGATGTTAGGCTGAATCTACCTCCTGGTGCTTAACTTCTAATTTTTTGCATAGCATCCTCAGAGTTTCCCAACCTTATTTTCCAAATCGTATATTCAGTCTTTAGCAATCAGCAGGGTGCATTCAGTTATACAGCATTTCTAGTCAGTACTTTTTTTTTTTTTTTTTTGAGCAAGACCAGCCCTGGGCTAACATCCGTGCCCATTTTCCTCCACTTTACATGGGATGCCACCACAGCATGACTTGACAAGCGGTGTGTTGGTGCACGCCCGGGATCGGAGCCTGCCAACCCTTGGGCTGCCGAAGCAGAGTGCATGCACTTGCACCACCAGGCCGGCCCACTAGTCAGTACTTTTTTATTCTTGTTTGTTTTTAAAAATTTCCAAGAACAGTTTCATTTTCTAGTTGCTTCCATTTTATAATTGATCTGTTCTTTTTGTAATATTAACTTAAACATCTGACTTTTCTGCTTTAGTAATGATAATACATGCTCATTATTAAAACTTCAAGCAGAGGGCCAGCCCGGGGGCCTAGCAGTTAAATTCGTGCACCCCGCTTCAGTGGGCCGGGGTTCGCAGATTCGGATCCTGGGTGCCAACCTACGCCACTGCTCATCAAGCCATGCTGAGGCATCGTCTCACTCACATAGAGCAACTACGATGTACAACTATGACATACAACTATCTACTGGGGCTTTGGAGAGAAAAAAAAAAGGAGGAAGATTGGCAACAGATGTTAGCTCAGGGCCAATCTTCCTCAAAAAAAAAAAAAAACTTTACGCAGTACAGAAAAATTAGAGAAGACTTTAAAAATCCACCCAAAATTCTACTAAAAATACCAGCTCTCCCATCTGTACATGTAAGCACAGCTGGGGAGCAGGCCATGGAAGCACAGTAGTTTCTTCACCTGGTTCAGAATTCCTGAGAAGATCTGACAGGAGTCAGCAGGGTCAAGAGCACAGAGAAACATCATGAACTGTTCGCAGCAAACAGCTGTACCACATGCTCCTGCTGGACCCCACAAATGTTACCCTTGTTTGTAGGTACAACATGTCTCAGATCAACTCCCACCTGTATTGCCATTTTGGTCTATATAGTCATCACACGCCCACTAGATTTTTAGCTCCATGTCTTTAAGCAGAGACTTGAGTGCATAGTAGGTACTCCGTTAATACTTGAATTAATTGCATGGTGCTTGCAATTAACTCCTGTGAGGAAGACTCAGCAGCTATTTTGCCCATGAGGAAAATCGGAAAATCAAGATTCCAAGTTTAACTGATTTGCTCTGCTCACACAGCAACTTGTTGATAGAGCAGGACTAATTCAGGCTTCCATTATACACCACGATCCTGTTCACTTCCCGCATTCATCTCCGAAGCAACTGACACCCAAAGGCATTAGTTGAATTACCTGAGGTCACAGCATTGAGCAGGCTCTGGACCAGAGCCCACGCTGCCGGATTCTTCAGCGTAGTCCCAGGGTGTCTGCTATCTCAGGTAAACCCTCAGCCTGGGTCTCCTTGGTCCTCTACCTACAGATACACAGAATCAATGCGATAGCTCTCCTCTCACCCCTAGGTAAACATAATGGTGAAATGAACTTGTGAGGGAAAGATGTGATTTCAACTGTATTTTTCTTGTTCACCTTAGTGTTCTACATGTGGGAAATGTTTCTCTCAGTCTTCCAGCCTAAACAAGCACATGAGAGTCCACTCCGGAGACAGACCCTACCAGTGTGTATACTGCACGAAGGTAAATGGGCCCTCCTTCTAAGGAGATCCGCTTGAGTCCCGTGTGGGTGTCCATGGATAAGAACTTGAAGCACAAAGCCTGGCTTATGATGAGTTCTTGGTAAATTAGTCCATTATCAGCCCCCTCCCCATTTCCATCCCAAGTATGCTCAAATTTGCTTAAGATGGTCAGATACTACCTCCTATTGCCAAATCGGCGTTTAGGGCATGTATAATGAAATACACCGCCAAATTTACAGGGACCTGATCATTGCAGACATGATTACATAGCTGGTCTTACTTTCTAGAGCAACATTACTGCAGTGGCACCTGATCTGCATTATACAGAATATTGAGTTATGAAAATGAAGAGACAAATATGTAGTTAACGGTTGTTAGAATAGAAACAATAGTTTGACCATGCTTTAGAAATAATATACCAAAACACCTTATATCCTATTTTGATGATATACATCTGTGCCATCTAATGCATAGTTACCCATTAATCATATGAGGCTATTTAAATTAATGAAATAAAATTGCAAATTCAGTAACTCGATTGCACTAGCCTCATTTCAAGTGCTCAAAGCCCCACGTGGCTAGTGACCACCAAATTGGACAGCACAGACACAGAACATTTCCATCGTCACAGAAAGTCTTATTGAATAGCACTGGAATAGACTCTTTCTGTCATCGAGTTATTTACATTTTTTTATAGTAAAGCCTTTGAAGGAATATAGGCTGTCTTAGAGTGAATTCTAAACCTTCCAAAGAGGAATAAAACATTGAGTCTACCAGACTTAGAGAAACTAATCTGCCAATGAAATTGTGTGTCAAAGGAATGGAAATAATCAGAGAAAAATGGGGCTGAGGTATAACTACACTGTGGAGCCAGCACAAACCAAAGGAAGGTGGCCATGGATTTGTGTGCAAAAGGCACCTATCTTGAGGGATAAATGCTCTCCTGCAGGATTTCCAGAACAAGGTCAAAATACCCTACAACCCATCCTGTTTCTAGAGTTCCAATTCTGATCCTCACCTTGGACTTGTAGCTAACCTGGGAACTAAATCCTCTTAGGACATAAGTTAGTTATTTGGCATTCTGGCTCACACATTAGATTCCCCTTACTTAGGCTGATGAAGATGGGCCATGTCGGGGTGTTCTAGGCAAGTACAGCTTGTTGACCTTACTGAGCAGTGACCCAACTCCGCGTATGCCCAGACACTCCATTGTCGAGTGTGTCTCTCGCAGCCCCCCAAATCTGAGGTCACCAGTTTAACCTGGTGTTTTATGTCACTGTCAATGGACGCAAAAAGTGAATCATTACATTTCTAATATACCACCTGAAAGTGACAAAGGTCAGAGCATAGTATTGAAATGAATGAGGGGAAAAGTTATAAATAAGGGAAAGAAAAGAAGTGGCCAAGAAAAGATATGTAAAAACAGCAAGTACTTGGAAATCTGAAATATTACAGCCACTCTGGAAAAGTTTGGCAATTTCTTTAAAAACTAAACTTGTAACTACCAAACAACCCAGCAGTTGCTCTCCTGGGCACTAATCCCAGAGAAATGAAGGCTTAATATGTTCACACAAAAACCTGTACACAAATGTTTATAGCAGCTTTATAATAGCCCCAAACTGGAAACAACCCAGACATCCTTCAATGGGTAAGTGATTAAACAGACTGTGGTATGTCCACACCATGGAATATTACTCAGCAATAAAAAAGGAGATGAACTATTGTACATACAACCACCTGGGTGAATCTGCAGAGATGAGTGAGAAAAGCCAATCCCAGAAGGTTCCATGCTGTGTGATTCCATGTATATAACATTCCTGAAATGATAAAATTATAGAAATGGAGAAGAGATGAGTGGTTGCCACAGCTTAAGAAAGAAGTGGGAGTGGGAGAGATGGGTGTGGCTATAAACGGGCAACATGAGGGATCTTTATGATGAAAATGTTCTGTATCTTAACTATATCAACATTGATATCCCGGTTGTGATATTATACTGTAGTTTTGTAAGATGTAACCATTGGGGGAAACTGGGTAAAGAGCACACAGAATCTCTTCTTTTTTTTTTTTTTTCCTCTTTTTTTTTTTTTTGTGAGGAAGATCAGCCCTGAGCTAACATCTGTGCTAATCCTCCTCTTTTTGCTGAGGAAGACCAGCTCTGAGCTAACATCTATTGCCAATCCTCCTCGTTTTTTTCCCCCAAAGCCCCAGTAGATAGTTGTATGTCATAGCTGCACATCCTTCTAGTTGCTGTGTGTGGGACGCGGCCTCAGCATGGCGGGAGAAGCGGTGCCTCAGTGCACCCGGGATCCAAATCTGGGCTGCCAGTAGCGGAGCACAAGCACGTAACCCTGGCCGGCCCTTCTTTTTTTGTGTGTGTGAGGAAGATCAGCCCTGAGCTAACATCCATGCCAATCCTCCTCTTTTTGCTGAGGAAGACTGGCCCTGGGCTAACATCTGTGCCCGTCTTCCTCTACTTTTTATATGGGACGCCGCCACAGCACGGCCTGACAAGCAGTGCATCGGTATGCATCCGGAATCCGAACCTGGGCCGCCAGCAGCAGAGTCCACGCACTTAATTGTTACGCCACGGGCCGGCCCCAGAATCTCTTATTTCTTATGACTGCATGTGAGGCCATAATTATCTCAAAATGTTTAAATTACTGATTTATGCAAAGACTGGCCAATATTAGCTACACCTTCTGTACAGCAGTTTATCTTGAGTGTGGTCCTAGGTCCACCTGCATTGGAGTTGCTTGTTTAAATGCAGGTTCCCGAATCTCATGTCAGGCTTATTGGGTGTACTCTCTGGGGTACGGTTGGCAGTCTGCATTTTTAACTGGACCCCCAGGTGATTTTAGCTACTGAAGGACCACTGTTCTAATAGCCAGTGCTACTCAAAACCAGCCAGAATGACAAGTCAGTCATGTCCTACTGTTGACCACGAGTGCTCTGTAGCATTAAAACCCCAGGTTCATCAACTGAGAACTAAGGATCAACACTGAAATTAACCCCCGCGTTTAATTGGTTGTGGAGCTGATGGAAGTTTACTTTTTCTTCTGCTTTCTGTTCTCTGCAGAAGTTTACTGCCTCCAGCATACTCCGCACACACATCAGGCAGCACTCCGGGGAGAAGCCCTTCAAATGCAAGTTCTGTGGTAAATCTTTTGCGTCCCATGCTGCCCACGACAGCCATGTCCGTCGTTCACACAAGGACGATGAGGGCTGTTCCTGTAGCGTCTGTGGAAAAACCTTCCCGGATCAAGAAGCCTTCTACTCCCACATGAAGTTTCATGAAGACTACTAACCCTCAGAGAACTAAGGACTTGGATTCTGTCTTTATAGTTCTTGTTTACGGGTGTGTCGTATGAATGAATGATAGTTATACTGAGATGAGACAAGAAAAATGGAACTGACCGATTAGCTGCATTAACTGGATTTATTGACTGTGATTTTAACAGCTTTCACAGAATTGTTTTTCACAATTTCTAACAAAAATGGAATTTTGGTGAATTTACCTGGAAATAATGAAAGCTGGCTATATTAGTAGTGCTTAAGGGTCTGGAAACTCAACATCAGCCATGAGAGAGACTATATTTCATTTCAGGGATTGGGAGTAGAGTCTTTAATTTCATGATGAAAAGGAGGCCTTTTCTCTGTTTGCCTTGGACCCCCCAATTGTAATATGTCTGTGACCATCACCTGTTATATTTCTTCATAGAATAAATTCTTTAAAAATTCATTCAAGCCAGAGCTTCATTAGTATTGTAGCTAAGTGTTCAGGCATGAATTAATCTCCCATCTTGATTTGATTCATTTCAAACCCTTCGTTCCCACCCCTCCCTCATCACATGACAAATGCCTGTTAATAATTTGGTTAGCACCACACAGAATTACCTGAAGGACACAAGTTACTTATTCACTCCACCAGTGACCTTCACCAATTGGGGAAGAAAAATTCTTACCAAATGAAGAAAGGCTGAAAAGTTACAATAGGCTAAAAAATAAATAAATGTATTTATATTGCTCTAGTTTTAAACCTGATTTCATTCCCAATAGACAAGTGGAATTTCTCAGGTCTTTTTAATTAGCTGGTCTGCGCTAGTACATAGAGTGCAAAGAAAAATGTGCCATATAAGTTATCACAAGGCTGATGCAAGCACGTGGAGAATGATCAACATTTTTTGACCATTAACCCTAGAGAGGGTACCACTGAGTTCTCCACGTTACGGATGAGGAAATCAGTGAGAGGAAGGAAGTGGTGTGGCGTCGTTTGCCTCTAACGGGCTAAGTGAGGTCTGCCCAACTCGAAAGCCCAGCCTCTTAATGAACCAGTTTGCTCAACTTAAGAATCCTGCCCAGGAAATAGCGTTTATTGGGCCGGCCCCATGGCTTAGCGGTTAAGTGTGCGCGCTCCGCTGCTGGCGGCCCGGGTTAGGATCTCAGGCGCGCACCGACGCACTGCTTCTCCTGCCATGCTGAGGCCGCGTCTCACATACAGCAACTAGAAGGATGTGCAGCTATGATGTACAACTATCTACTGGGGCTTTGGGGGAAAAAAAATAAATAAATAGCGTTTATTAACCATCACATCCTTCCCTATATGAAGGCAAGCGACGACAAACTTTTAAATATTCACCTGGAAAATTTGAGACCAGAATAAAAGTGCTTCGTAGGTAACCATAGCTACTAAGCTACTCTGTCACATTCCTAGCCATGGTTCTATCGACTGTGGAGGATTTTTCTTCACCCTTTATCCATGGTCCATGCTTCTCCAAATGGAGCAGATTCAATATGGAACAGATGCGCCTTCCGGAGGGAGGCTCTCAGCTGTAGGGAGTCCTTTGAGAAAGAGATGTAGTGCAGGTGGGAGGAGGAGCAGTGACAGATTCTCCTCCAGGGAATTCCTTGCTGCCTTGACTAGGTCTGAGTAATTTATCCTAATGGGAATGTGCCCTGTTGTTTTAGGACTGTTTTAGTTCATGTTAATTAAGCCAGAACAACGGTCTTTTGAAAAGATTGGGGCTCATCCTGTAATTAGGCAGCTTTTCTTTGACTGCTAGTTCAAAGTATATTTCTTTCTGTTTATGGGTTTGAACATTATTTTAGAATCAAACAGTAAAAAAAGACATCAGGAACTGGGGTGATGCTAATTTTTTCACTAGTTGAACAATTCAAGTTAACTGCTTTATTCTTGGAAACAGAATAGTAGCACAGGAAAGTCATTTTTTTCCTCTCTTTTTTAACAGTCACTCCAAAATGCACGCATGCCCACAATAACTGGAAAACTTTGGGCAATTTCATTTAACCTGACATGTCTCCAAAAAGGTTTGATCATATTGATAGAGTTACATATCTCAATTTTTGGTTTGGAAAATAGTTCATAACATCTTTCTTTAGTAATTACCTTAAAGCTCTATGTTAATTTAAAATGTGTATCTTACCTATTTCTAAAGATAATTTGGATGAGCTTATAACAATAATTTAAAAAAATAGACAAAGACAGTCAAAGTAGAAGACAAACCACCACATAGAAAGTGGAATGAAATTAAAACTCTAGGCTAATGTAATTACACTGGCTGAACATTGGAATATAACACATAGAATAGATGTGGGAGTTGGACAAGCCTGTATTTGGCCGTGTTCTCATTGTGTAATGTTGGGCAAGTTGTTTAACTTCTGAGGTTTAACATCCTCATCCATAGATTAATGTCATAATTATGTTGTAGGGTGTTGTAAGAATTAAATAAAATGAAACAACTTGCATTCTGGATGATACTTAATAAATCTATTTCCTTTCTCTTAACCTGTCAGTCAAGGCAAAAGGGAGACAATTATGCAAATTTTATTGTTGATATATATGCTTGCTTTTAGGGGTTCTCAAAAGTGTGGTTCCTGGACTAGCAGCATCAGCAATAGCTGGGAACTTGTGAGAAAGGCAAATTCTCCAGCCCTATAGGATACCTACTGAATCAGAAATTCTGGGGGTGGGGCCCAGCAACCTATACTAAAGTTTGAGAACCACGGCTTTATTTGATTTTCCCTCCAAGTCCCTGCAACATGGCAGTGGGTACAACTGAGTAGCTAGGTGACTTGGCAAAATCACAAAGCCGTTCATTAGGAGAAACCATTAGAATGCAGATTGCAGGCAGAATAGTGCTCTTCCTGGGAATAATCGACACCGATAGCACACAGTTGTCATTTTACTGTTGGAAATATGGAACTCTTTCTGCAGCTACGAGCCTGATTATGGAATTTAGAGACCTCATGAGTTAGTTTCTCTGCTCATACTCCTTTTCCCTACCGGAGTCTATATCTGATGATAAATATCATCTGTTCACTCATTAGCATAAAAAGATGTATAAAAAGGGACACCTGAACCCTGGAAAAATAACTAGGCTTAAAGTAAAGTGGGATCCATGATATTGACGAAGCTCTTAATTGGCCCTCAGGGTGTCCTAGGACTGGGGGAAGTTGGCAGTTGCAATGAACAAAGCCAGCAAAGTAGACAGATGCTTGGGACCTCTACTGGGCCTGCAGTAGGCTCAGCGTTGGGGCCATAAAACCACAGCTCTGTTTGTACCCGGACAGTGCAGGGCAGGTTGGGGTCGCAAGGAATTGCCATTCACAATATGATAGAGACAAAATCACAAACACCATCCTAGACCATCTATTATTGGTGAGTTTAATTTTGACATGACAGGTTGCACAGTTTTTCATTCTTGGTAGTTTTAAGTACTTTCAGAGTGCGTTATAACCGCTTAAGGGCAGTAATTATACTGAGCTGTTGTTATTTTATGGACCCTATCCAAAGTTCAGGAGAACAAATTTATACATTGAATTCTTTCAATAGAAACATTTAATTAGAATATCATATTACAGCACTTTGTTAATAGACATATGTCAAAATAGAATAAACAAAATTATTTTGAGAAAAAACTAGTGTTAAGAATAATATAAAATATATGGGGCCAGCCCCGTGGCTTAGCGGTTAAGTGCACGCACTCCACTGCTGGCGGCCCGGGTTCAGATCCCAGGCGCGCACTGACACACCGCTTGTCCAGCCATGCTGAGGCCGCATCCCACACACAGCAACTAGAAGGATGTGCAGCTATGACATACAACTATCTACTGGGGCTTTGGGGGAAAAAAATCAAAAAAAAAAAGTATAATATAAAATATGGATAAACTCCTCTCATTGATAATCCCTTCATAAAGTATGGGACTGTCATAGAAAACAGGAGTTTTCTACATTATTTTAAGAGGTTATATATTCAGGAAATATAAAGTACATGATGTTTCCACTTATTGCTGCAAAGAATTTTCAATTTATTGCTTTATTGGCTTAGAGTAACTTTAATAAAATAAATTGTAGTATTTTGAGGTGAGATATTTAGCCCTAATTACAACTAGGGTAGAGTATGTTTAGGGAGAAGATTATGGTTTTACTTTTGCATAGGATCTCAAAATAAAATAGTCCTTCACTGTCATTCTTTTTCATCTTATCTCAGGATTTTTGTAACCTCATATATTAAAAAGTAGAATAAATTGTGTGGTTTAGCATTATGTAAATTCTACTTGTAGATTTGTGAAATTTGTTTTGGATTTGTTTCTAGCATAGTATTTTTGTTGAAAGCAGTTGCTATCAAGAAAATACTTCAGGGCCAGCCCCGTGGCTTAGCGGTTAAGTGCGCGCGCTCCGCTGCTGGCGGCTCGGGTTCGGATCCCGGGCCCGTACTTACGCACTGCTTCTCCGGCCATGCTGAGGCCGCGTCCCACATACAGCAACTAGAAGGATGTGCACCTATGACATACAACTATCTACTGGGGCTTTGGGGGGAAAAAAAAACGAGGAGGATTGGCAATAGATGTTAGCTCAGAGCTGGTCTTCCTCAGCAAAAAGAGGAGGATTAGCATGGATGTTAGCTCAGGGCTGATCTTCCTCCCAAAATAAATAAACAAATAAAAATGCTAAGTGTTCTTCCATTTGCTTCCATGGTATGTTCTGACATCTATATATATCAATTATTTTAAAAATGCTAATAAAAATATTCAGTAAGATTTTAGGGCCAAATATGTGATTTTCCCCCCATTCTTTTTTAGTTTCTTTTCCCTTTTTTTTTTTTTTTTTTTTGCTGAGGAAGATTCGCCCTGAGCTAACATCTGTGCTTGTCTTCCTCTATTTTGTGTGTGGGTTGCCACCACAGCATGGCCACTGACAAGTGGTGTAGGTCCACGTCCAGGATCTGGACCCAGGTCACCAAAGCAGAGTGCACCAAACTTAACTACTAGGCCATGGGGTTGACCCCCT